TTTAGGGTTTCAGGCTTGGGGTTTAGGGTTTCGGGTTTGGGGTTCAGGGTTTCGGGGGTTTAGGGCTTAGGGTTTGGGGTTTAGTGCGGTGGCTTGGGTCCTGAAGCATGGAACTTAGCACTGGGAGCTTGGGGATGGGGCGGGTTTCAAGGCTGTGGCTTTGGAGTTTTGTGTTGGGGGGTTTGGGTTTGGGGTTTGGGGGTCACGATCTAGGGTTCAGGGTTTAGGGGGTTTGGGGTGTGGGATTTGGGGGTTTTGAGGCTTTGGGTTTGATGTTTTGGGTGCTTGGGGCTGTGGGTTTGTCCAGGGCTTTGGGTTTGGGTCAGGGCTAATGCACTGCACGGGCCGAGAGGTATGATTTTCTACCTGCCGATTTCGGTGGGCTCCCCTAAACCTGGGGAGGAAGATCGGCCACAAAGGGAAACTAACACTGGAAGTAGGGGACGTCGCAAGCAAGCCACCCTAGTTGCAACCCAGCCCCACATACCAAAATCCGGCATCATGCATGCCATGCCCTACGAGTACGAAATACCCCACGACCCTACGACCACGATTTACCATGCCCCTTGAACCCTGAAGCTCAAGAAACGTACCCAAGAACACAAAGGACCCAGAACTCCATCCAAACCTCCAAACCCTGTACTATAATATTCTAAGGTATACGACACTCTCCTTTTTATATGCAATATCATACTATACTATATTTCTAGTATCATCCTAAACCCTAAACCCCTAAACCCTAAACCCCTCAACCCTCAACCCTAAACCCTAAACCCTAAACCCTAAACCCACAGTACACAAAAGCTCCACATCCCAAATCTGATCTCTGCTATCCCAGCTGCCGGCTGCCGCTGCAGAAGTCTCTCGGCACACTCACCTGAGCTACGATACGCTTTAGAGACTTTAGGGTTTTGGGTTTAGGGTTTAGGGTTTAGGGTTTACCAGGACCCTTAACAACCTACTTTTTTAGGGTCCCTTACTATGATTTCTTTGTATAAACCCTTAAAAAAGTAGGTTCTTTGGGGTCAAGGTAGGGTGTTGGGTTGATAGGGTTTCGGGTTTGGGGTTTAGGGTTTAGGGTTTGGGTATGAGGGTTTAGGGTGTAGGGTGTAAGGTTTATAGGGTTTCGGGTCTTGGGTTTAGGGTTTAGGGTTTAGGGTTGGGGTTTGAGGGTTTAGGGTTTAGGGTGTAGGGTGTAGGGTTCAGGATTTAGAGAAGGAGTTGATACGAGAATGTAGCAACGTGCTCGAGCAGTCTTACGAGAATAGGATCGAAGGGTCCGGGGGTCAAAAATCTAGAGCTTACAGGGTAAAGGCTCCCGGTCAAGGACAGTCGCGGGACGTTCATCCGGATCAGAATATGACCGGTCAAGCGCTCATGAAACCGGGTCTATGGGGGGTCTAGGGCTCAGGCGAATGGAATGAGGGGAATAGGGCACTAGTGGTTGAGGGATTTTCCTAGTTTAAGTGCGAGTGTTAGCGGCATCTTGGTTGCCGGTTAGCGTTTAGGGTCAAGTGCACAGGGGAACGTGATCTAGGGGCTGAGTACCCTAGCCCAAAAAAGGTTAACCTTTTCAATTATGGTAGGATTACATAAACCCCAAAAGGTTAAAGGTTACCTACTCAGCCACCAAGTGATTCTGCTATATTAAACCTAAACCCTAAACCCTAAACCCTAAACCCTAAACCCTAAACCCTAAACCCTAAACCCTAAACGATCTGTTGCATGTACAGCTTGGGGTTCAGGGTGAAGGATGGGCACTTAAGGCTGTTCGGGCTCCATCTTGGCAGATCAACACAGAATGCACCAGCAAAGACATGGTCGCCTGTTGGCTGAACGGGTTTAGGGTTTAGGGTTTAGGGTTTAGGGTTTAGGGTGTCAAGAGCGATTCACATCTCATTTAGAGTTCCAGCCTGGCTTCGTGCTACGGTTTGCAGCCCAGCATTGATAGAACCTACACCCTGAACTCTAAACCCCCGTAAACCCAAAAAAAGGTAAGTGCTGCCTGCGAGCTTCGACACCGACATGCACACGAGTACCGAAGCAAAGAGAAAGACTGGAACCACGAGCCTCGCACGTAGACCTAATGCAAGGGCCTTAATAGTTAGAACACGGTTTGGGGCTCCTTTATAGTCTGATTATCATAAGGACCCCTAAGAATGATATTGGTCATTCTTTATAGGCTTCTATATATTGGTCATTCTTTATAGGTCATTCTTTATAGGCTTCTATATATTGGTCATTCTTTATGGGCTTCTATATATTGGTCATTCTTGATAGGCTTCTATATATTGGTCATTCTTTATAGGCTTCTATATTAGTCAAACGTCAACATGCCGAAACTCTCCACTTCCCCTTCCGACGAGTCACGCCACACGGTCGTGGCTTGCTTCGCCACCTGAGTTCACCAAGAAGCCACCCCTAAACCCCAAACCCTAAACCCCTAAACTTCCTAAACTTCCTAAACCCCTAAACCCCTAAACCCCTAAACTTCCTAAACCCTATGAACCGCTAAACCCTAAGACAAAACACCCGCCCGCGCTCTCTGCCAGTCGCAAGGCACCTGCAAGACCCTCTCCACCAACGCATCCACCAAGTCGGTCATGTCCTGATGAAAGCCACAGGGTTCAGGGGTCAGGGGTTGAGGGCTTAGGGATTTAGAAACTGTATAGCGCTTGGGTCCCCTCAAGTACTGACCGAAACGTTTGGACCGACCCAGAGAGCCCAATACCCCTTAATTAAGGAATGTACCTTAAATCATGGGGGCCTTAATATTATGATTTAAGATATATTCCTTGATTAAGGGGTATTGTGCTCTCTGGGGAGCTCTTCTGGCAAAATCGGTGCAAAAGTCGACGAAATCGAGCTGGGCGGCTGGGCTCGCAGGGGTCCAACTTTGGGGGCCTTGGAAAGGCCGAAAGGGCCAAGCCTAGAAACACCCCAAAGCGCCCAAAAGCACAAGTTTGGGGAGGGTCCCCCAGAGAGCCCAATACCCCTTAATTAAGGAATATACCTTAAACCATAATATGAAGGCCCCTATAGTTTAAGGTATATTCCTTATTTAAGGGCTATTGGGCTCTCTGGGTCCGTGGAACTCTAAAACGAGGCACTTCCGGCCCAGAGACTCCAATATCCCTTGATTCAGGAATATACTCTAAATCATATTAAGGATCCTACTATAATTGCAGGAATATTCCTTAATTAAGGGATCTTGGAGTCTCTGGCTGGGCTTGCGGCTGGGCTGGCTCGGCGAAGCCGAGACGGCTGACTGAAAGTTTTGACCGAAGGTTTGGTGGGGAGCTGTTCGCAAATGGTTTAGGGTTTAGGGTTTATAGGGTTTAGGGTTTAGGGCTTATAGGGTTTAGGGTTTAGGGCTTAGGGTTTATAGGGGTTTAGGGGTTAGGGCTTTAGGGTTTATAGGGTTTAGGGTTTATAGGGTTTAGGGTTTAGGGCTTAGGGTTTAGAGGGTTTAGGGTTTAGGGCTTAGGGTTTATATAGGGTTAGGGTTTAGGGTTTAGGGTTTGGGGTTTAGGGGTTCACGAGACAGACCCTGTGCCGTTCCCAACAACTTTAAGAGACATCGAGCGACTGCTCCGTCAGGAACACAGGTGGCTGCGAGGACGGC